CAGGGAAATGTTTCATCTCCTAAAATGATCACGTCATGTTTTGCCAGATAAAAAAAAAAAAGAAATTCTCCCTGCATCTTCAGAGTGAGTTAAACTTTTAGGTTCCTCTCAGTTTGGTTTGAGAGTTCAGAGATGCTTTGACCCCCACAAACAGTGAGGCTTTGTTCAGGACAAACGAGCCACTCTGACACAAGCAGACTCAGCAACTCAGAGCACGCCCTGATACAGACAGAAAAAACAGCAAACGTCTGACATACTGGAGTCCAGACTCCCCTGAGGGTAGAGGATCTAGTCCCCCCTGAGAGTGGCCACCTGTATTATCAAAAAGGGCTTCGCTAACAGATCCACCGTGGACACTACCTGCTTTTCAGACTGTCCCGACACTCCCTGAACGCCACCCAGTACAAAGAGCTTTTGTTTTCTCTGGTGGGAAAACAGTCAAGTGTCAGACTGCCAACAGGATGTGCTCCGGGTGAAGTAAAACCGGCCGGTTATCTGCTATTACAACTCTGATAACACAGAGAGTCTCTGAAGCAAAGCAGCTGTGTCCTTAACCCACTCAGCTCCAGGTTAAAGGTACTGATATAGAAGAACCACAGGTCCAAGGAAATCCAACTGTGCACGCTCTGTATCAATAACTTTTCTTATTTTTACATATTCAGAATCCACGCTTCTTTTCTAAGAGTTTTCCAAAAGTTTAGTTTTGAATGACTTTATGAAAGTGTCTGAAGACCGAATCTTGGTACAAAAAGCCTTTTAACAAATGGTACCTCTACAAACAGAATAAGCCACTCTATGATCTGAAATCAATACAGAATTATAGAAATGGATGAATAAAAAAGTTTGATTTATGCCCGATTGTTTTCATTTAAGACTTTTTTAATGAAAACATTTGTTAATTCACAACAATGAATAATATAAACACTACAAATTCATTCATCCTGACTGAAAGCATTATTGGGAGCAGATTAATAGTTATTTAACACCTTTAGGAGAATAATACAAAAATATATATAAAATCAACAAATAAATCGAATAAGAAAATAAAATTATCTTAATTTAAAAGACACAATATGTCAAGGAAAAACTAAAAAAAGGGATATAAACTTAAAGGAAAGCAGAATCAAATCTTAGCAATAGTCATCTATGTTATTATTATTAAATAGATATTACACAAGTACAATTTCTCATGAAAGCAATTAATTTGTTTAATTTTCATTTTAAAATTAACACGTCCACATATTTTTTTCTTTATGGCAGATTGTTAAATGTTAAAACAGCCATAAAGATAATGCAGATGGTTTCATTTTGGTTCCACATTCTCAGATTAGATCCTGATATGTGGGATCAGATCGACACCAGTTTGACTTTTTGATTAGCTGCTGGAATAAGGCACAAA